GGCCTGTTCAACCTGGAGAAGAGAAGGCTGAGAGGGGATCTGATCAGTGTCTATAAGTACCTCAAGGGAGGGAGTGCAGAGGACGGTGATGGTCTCTTTTCAGTGGTGGCCACTGATAGGACTAGAGGAAATGGCCGGAAACTGAAACACCAAAAATTCCATAGGAACTTAAGGAAAAATTTCTTGACAGTGAGGGTGACAGAGCACTGGAACAGGCTGCCCAGAGAGGTTGTGGAGTCTCCTTCTCTGGAGATCTTCAAAACCCGCTTGGATGCAGTCCTGTGCCACGTGCTCTAGGTGTCCCTGCGTATGCAGGGGGGTTGGACTAGATGATCTCTAGAGGTCCCTTCCAACCCTAAGCATTCTATGATTCTATGATTCTATGATTTGGTAAACTTTTTATTCTGGGCAAGCTGTGTAACGGTGTGAAAGGATCTTTCAAGTTATTCTTGCTTGTGGAACTTGCATAGGCTTTTCTTGGGAAAGTGGACAGCGTGAGTCAGATCCACAAAGGTACTTAGACACCTAAATTGCCACTCATTCCAAATTATAATTAGATGCCCAAATGAGTACTAAATACCGTTACAGGTCTGGCAGTATATGTACACCACACTCAGTTCTGGCACTGCATTTTTATAGTGGTGCTTTCGATCTTTAAATCAATGCTGGGACAAGAGGAATGTAGTTTTTAGAAAAAAAATACTATACCTGTGACATAAGTACAGTGATGCAAAGGAAAGCAGGGTTTTATGTCCCCTCCCCCCTTTTTTTTTTGTAGCTGTAAGTGCCTCTCCTGCAGCACTGAGACATGAGAATTTTGCCTTCACATCTTCTTCCCATTCTTTTGCCTTTTCCTCTTAATCTTAAAGATGCACAAAACCAAGGTGAAGCAAGTTCTTAATGAAAACACACACACACACAGCAGGTGAACAGGTTTTCTTCCTTGTCAGGTGGAAGAACTATTTTACTTGACAGGAGACAGAGTCAGGCTGCTGTGTCTGCATGGTGCTTGCACTAATAACTCAGCAGGGCTTCAGTACTACACTGTTAATGATGGCTGAACTTCTCAAGCAACACGAGAGTCTTTTAGAAAGCTTGAAGGTTCCAAAAGTTCATGTACTGTCTGGTGATACAGGACCTGTGCAGGTAACAAGATGCGTATTGATTCCTTACCTAGAGCCTGTTTGTTTTAGTCACAGTGTTTGGCATCTTACTATCCGTGTGAATACCTGCCCTCTCCAGTGTCTCTTAGCTGACTCTCTTCACTCTTGAAGATGTTTTTTTGAGATGTTAAGATAGGAGAAAACCTTTGAGGTATTTAACTTCTGTTCCACCAGATAGCTCCAACTAGTGAATTTTAGGCTTCTCCATCCCCTTCGCCCCTACATGAAAGGATTCATGTACATGTATTATGTTTCCAGGCAGTTTGTTTGCTTTACCAAACAGGCTTATAACCAGAACTCAGCTATCCCTTGTAGTTTAGCTTGGTGTAATATTCACAAGGGACTGAGATTTTACAAACCATGCACTTCAGTATGCACAGTGTTTGCCACCAGTAATGAATTGTGAATTTCACATAAATTCCATTCCAGTAGTCATATTCTAAACTCTTAACTGAAGAGGAATTTCATCAGGTGCTCAGCATGAAATTCATGATACAATTTTATTGTGCTTACAATGCACAAGAGAGCAAAATGAGAATGCTTCTAGTTGGGCACGCTAGCTAGTAAAATCCATCACAAGCGTGAAGGTCATGTGTGTTGGATTTGAAACATCACAAAATGTGGTATATACCTTAGAATTTTAAGTGTCCAGTCCCTTTTATTTAAGTTTACAATGAAATTGTGTGCCAACTGAAATTTTTTTCTCAGAGAACACAATGTTGAAATGAATATATTTTTCACGCAAGTGTACAATATAAGCAAAAGTTGTGAATGTGGGGTTTTTGTTTGGCATTTAAGGCTTACTTTGGACAAGCATTGTCACTAGTAACCACCCTTTTTAACACATTGTGATGATGACAATAAAAATGAATGAGTGAAGGCAGTTGTAGAGGGCAGTTAACCGTAACACAGTAGCCACTTCTGGTTTTCTAATACTCAAAAGGTAGGAGAACTGGAGAAGTGAAGAACAAAAGCAAAAATGGGAGAGGAACAAAAGAGAGGTGATATGAGGTGAGGGGTTACTAACCTGATCTATTAATCTCTAAGGTAAGTGATGTTAGAGCAGGTAGGTTTGTGTTAATCTAGTCTCGTTCAACTGCAGAGAGTTTTTGTGGCACTAAAAGTTCATCTCTCCAAGGACACTGTGGGTGTTCATATTTACAAAATGGAATGCAGTGGTAGTGGAAAAATATCAGTAGTTGTTGGCTCAGCAGCTTTGTGTTGTAAGGCCTGTGAACTGTTACCTCCTAGAAGTCGAGGCTTTTGATGTAGGTCCGAGACAGTTTCTTCTGGACTGAACCAAGTGAAAATCCGCTTCTCATTGTGCCAGGTTGTTTTTCAAGAATGTTTAAAAATCTACCTGTATAAGACTGAAAAGTCTCAATCTGTTCTATCCGTATATATCTTCCATATATATATTCCATATATATATTCCATATGTGTGTGTGTGTATATATATATATATATATGAAATATATATTTTATTTTGGATCAAACATTTTTGTTGGATCTAGTATTTTTTTAATTTAAATATCAAACTGCTAAGTGGTTGGTCACTAAGAAAATTGACACATAACAACTACCAAGTAATCCAAAGGTGTTCTTGGGAATCTATATCTGGTGGTCAGTGCCTGATTTTCAGAAGAAAGGAACTTTCTAACAGTCTTTATGGTTGTTTGGTGTTCCTTTTTTTATATATTGATGCATCTGGCTTTTTATTTCCCAAGGGTTATTGGTTTTCCCATATTGCTTTTTTGCACTTTGGTGTTTGTTTCACTCTTCTGATGGACGTCTTAGAGATATATGATATCTATTTGGCTGGTAACTGCTACATCATTCCAAAGTTTCTAATCAGGACTTCTAAAAAATGTTGGAGGAAAGGTCTCTAAGTGACAAGGATTCAGAAAGACACCCAGAAAATGGATAAAATGGAGAAGGGGGGAAAAAAAAAAAAAAGGACAAAATGGACATCATGCCCAGGAGAGGGCTCTGGCTCTTCCTCATTGGGTTTACACATCCACGAAGCTGAATGGCTCTGACATTTTTAGTCCTTAGAGTCACATTAAGAATCTTTATTGATATTGAATTTTTCCTATCCATCTTACCAGTGTCTGTTCCTGGATGTGACCCTTCTGTCCTTGATTTGGAAACTCCATGATGTTGTTTATAGCTGTACAGCATTAGTGCAAATGGTTTCTGTAGCTACTGTCCAGCACCAGATGTAGAGTGGTAGGAAGTTGTGATAAGGAAAGGAAGATTTTTAAACAAAAGCTGAATGCGGGTAATTACCCTAATGTTGACCTGAGGCCTGTAGATCCATAAAATCCTTTTGAATTACACATAGTATCTACAAAGATTTAAATAAAAACAAAATTCACTTTTTTATCTGTAAGCTTTCTCCTCTTTCTGTCACTTCTTTTATTATTTATTGAAAGTGTGTGACACCTTTTATAGTGTTGTCTTTAGAAAATAACATTAAGTTGAAAACACTAGCTGAAAGCTCTTTGGTAGCATGAATTTTGGCAAGAGTTTGGTTGGTTTTGGATTGTCGCAGGAGTTAAACATTACAGAGTGAAAGTTTTATATAATGGCTATTGTTTGAGATTAGACTTATTTTGAGAACTCAAGTTATTCAAAGTCAAAACCAAGGATGATAAAAAAAAAAGAATGACTAGTGGGTAAAGAACATCCTCAGTTCTGACCTTTACAACTAAAGGAGGAAATCCTTGTTTTCCAGTAGTGCTGCTGTAAATGCAGAAACACCTGACTTGCTGCCACGCAAGCTGATTATTGCTGATCAGTCTTGCCACAGGGCGAAGGCGATGCCTTCTGCAGAGGATTCACTACTGTGTGCAGACTTGCCAATTACAAACATGGTCCATAAAACTAACATTGTATGTGGTTCCAAATGAAATGAAGTGACAAAGGCTTCCTTATGCTTTCTAGTCATCCTTACTTCAAGCTGTGGAGCACAGGCAATACTCCCTCTTCATCGCCCAGTAAGGCATGTTTAGAGGAAGAAAGGGACTGTATCCTTCCAAGCACTGCAGTTCAGCTCTAGTCTCAGCATTTGACCTTAAAACAAATAAAGCGAAAAGAAAAGAACCAAAAACTAGGAAAGGAAAAACGTGTATGTTGACTGCACTGGACAGATAATGGGCTTAAGGGAGAGCTGACACTAGTATCATCTTTAATTTCTCAAACATCTAAACTACCTAAGATTTTATTTTAAACACTTCCCACTCAATCTATAAAATGAGATACCTAAAGATATATGTTTAGGGTGAAGAGGGATTATCAACCTGTGAATTCAGGGGAAGGAGAAGTGCTCCTCTGGTCAGACTGGTTCTGTATAATGGAGGACCAGCGGAGTTCTGTAAAATGGAGATTCTGTACAATGGAGAACGTATTCTGTATAATGGAGAACAGGCTGGTTAGGAGAGGAGAATGGCATCTTTCTCTTAAGCTCTCCCTTCTTCCTGTCTCCTAGTAGTAATTTTGGCATGAATGTTTTAAAAACCTGTTGATTATGAACCCAAGAAGGCTATTAGAGATAGCTGTGTTTCACAGGTGATCAAAAGACAATAGATAATACTCTGTTTATAATAGGTTTAATGAGTCATTTTCTCCCATTACTTTCCAATTTCTCACTAATTAAATGAACCGGTTTCCTCATGGTGATGTGTATATTTTACAGGTAGGTTTCCACATGGGATTTAACATTTAGCTAGTTAATTTAAGGCAGTGGCACCACTGGTATCTGCTAGGATAGTTGAGGAAAGCCGCTTCCATAGGAATATCTTGCAGTGCCCAGGAGAGGGCACGTGTGCACACACAGACACGAGGCTCTTGCTGTGTTGGCAGTCTCGGTGTCCCAGTGCTTCACGTGCCTTGGAGGATGCTCCAGAGCAGAACCTGGTGTGGAACCGGCTAGGGGAAAGCGTAGAAGGGCACCGAAATAGCTGAAGGGAGAGATGTTCACTAGAGCTCAGTTCACCCCTGTATTTACTGGCTTGGTAATGTATGACCTCATTTACTCCCAGGTTATTGCTACTTCTGCTCAAGCATTCTAGGCAACCTTGTTTCCACGAATGAATGGATAACCCAGAACTGTAAACTTAAGTAATAAACCAACCTGTTACGGTGCTGCACTGCGTAGAGTAAAAACTTGCAGCAAACCGTGAGTTCATGTCAAGAATAAACACTTCTCGGAGAAGAGTTCTAGTTCTGTTGTGTCTTTTTATTTTTTCTTTGCGCATTTTGATTTTTCTTGGAACTGATATAAACAGTCTCACATCTTGTTAGTGAGTGCAATTAGCACTTCTGCTTGATGTTAGTTTAACCATTTTCAACGTCACTATCAGTTTTCTTTAGCACCGAGATTTGTTTGATATATTGTGCATCTTAGAATATTGATAAAAATAGTTGACAAGTATCTCAACATTTAATTGTATAAAACCATTATACATGACAAACTAGACCTTTGTGCCTATAATGGTCAGTTTTTCTAAACTGTATTCTTGACTGATGTCAATAATATAGATGTTATATGTCAGGATTTGCAGTGTCAATTATAACTTTGAGAGGTAAGTAAAAGCTAAACAAGGAAAACACTCTCTGTAGCTCTTCATTATTTGTAGGAACTCATGCTAGCCATTCCGTTCCTTTCCTGTTTGTATCTGCTTTCCATAAACCTCTGGAAAACCCAGTCACTCAGATGGTACTTTTTCCAGAAACTAATCTTTAGATTTTCCCTTACAAAAGTTTGGGTGTCATAGTACCTGTGTTCCCATTTATTCATGCAAGGATTGAACTCTTTTGATGGTAGCAGGGATATTTCCAGTGATTCAACATAGTTAAGTTTCCAGTGTCTAAGATTAACAACTTGCATGCAATAGAGTAATGGAAATTTGAATGAATTCTTAAATATATGTCTGCTTGCAGATTGTATTTGTCAATGTTGCACACCATATTATCCACTACATGAGAGTTGTCATTTGTGTTTAATGTCAGAGTTCGCAATAGAATATCTGTGTTCTTTTTAATCCCAATGAAACTTATCATTGTACCTTTAGGATTCTTTAATCAACCTGGTGACTTAATTTTTGTAATTCAGTGGCACATACTTGATTTTGCTTGCAATTGTTTGAAAGTTTTGAGGACAAACATTGGCGATACACACCAAAGATGCTGCCATAAATTCTAATGCTTGTCTTTTAATATCATGCAGGATCAAGATCACAATTCTTACTCGTTGGATGGTCAATATATGCCGTACAAGGGACACAATTCTTTTCGTGAGAAGTATTTCAGTGGTGTGACAAAAAGGATTGCCAAGGAAGAAAAAGACAACCAGAAGTAAAATATAATATAAACAGATTAAAAATGAGGAAAGAATGAAGATCATGTTTCTTTTGTAAGGACATCTGGATGTGCACATTCATCTGGATGCTTCAGAAAATAAATACTGCTCTTGATTTTTAAAACAAGATGAAACCCACAACACAGGTTGAGAGCAGTTTTTTTAATTAGCTTTGTTTATAGCAGATTTTATTGTACAAGTTTTTTGAGCCTTATTTAATTTATATTTGTACTTTCAAGTACTAATGATGATTGACAAAAACCATTATTATTGTTCTTTCACCATTAACATTTACAAAAAAGTAGTAGTATTATTTGGCTTCTTAAACTGTGGACATCTGGCTGTTTTAGAAACACGTGATGGTGATCAAGGATTGCTTATTAAGAAGACCGTTTTCTTTTGTAAATGCTGTACAATAAAAACAGCTAAGCTTGTTGTGAGGCTTTTTTTTTTTAAATTATTGCATGCAGTAACTGCTCCTATGAATTCCGATTGCTCTGGTTGAGGCCAAGAGTGCTTAAACCAACCAAACAAGAAACATAAAGAAACAAACGCATCCACTAAAAAGCTTCTGTGACCTGACAAACGCTGGAGAGCCCATTAAGCCCTATGAAGCCTGTCCACATCTGAAGCTCATCTGTACCTTGGATTTGCTCTTGCATTCCTAAACCTTGACTCTTGGTCAAGCCAACTGTCTGCAATTTTTGGTTCAGAAACTGATAGTTTAAGCAGTAACAACAACAGCATAAAATCAGTAATGATTCCCTAATGGTATTAAGCCTAATCGAATCTTTGAAATTGAAGCTGTATTTCTTAAAGAGAGAACTTTGCTGAATCCACACCGTGTCCATCATGAAAATACCTTATTTGAAAACCACTAAGCCCATTAATTCAGGATGTTAATGGTTTTTCTTATTTTGGTGGTCAAATATGGTCAAACATATTCCAGCAGGGCGTTGGTGAAACTTCCTCCAGCCTTGCTTCCTAATTTGCTGAACGTTATTGACTGTGGTTGTTTTACAGTTTTTGTAGATCATAATCTTTGAAGAGTTGCTCCAAAAAACAATGATATCTAGGCAGCCGCAAGACAATGTGCATATCTGATTTAGTTTATTAGCTAAATTCACTTTTCTGTGTGTTGCGGTCCTCGGCTGCAGCAGGAAAAGCTCAAATACTCAATGACAACTTTGACTTTCTGGATCTAATCTGTGGTGTCTTAGGAAGTTCTGAAATAGTGATTTATTTTCTCTGGTTCCATTATAAATCACTTTGTTTTGAGACTTTTAATGTCAGCCATGTAATAGTTGTTCTGGGCTAAACTTGGAACAAGATCAAAGCTCAGAAATTTCTTTTTCAAAAGCAGAATTTGAATTGATCACTTTCAAATATTACATCAAAAAACTACTGCTTCTGCAAAATCGACTTCATTTAGCTTAGGGCTTCAATTTTAGTATTGCAATTTGGCATTCAGTTTTTATTACTTTACAAACTGAAATTACTTTCTGTTCTTCCCGGGTAAGCAATTTTTGTAGGTAGATTTATGACACATTTGTAATTTTATTTTCATAGAAGTTACCCTACACAGACATGATCTAAATGGCTATACAAGATGTAAGATCTTGGCAAATCCTGGCTCTTGTTGTTCAAAAAGAATGATTTAGTTTATTTCTTCTTTGCCTACTCCAATTTTTAGTCCATTCAGTGGTGTATAGCTTCTGTTAGCAGTTCATATGTAGCTGCTCTAGAATTGCTGAAGAATACCATTTTGAACAGAAACTACAGGCATATTTGGGATACTCCATGAACATTCACTAATAAAAAATAATATAGAAGTGAAATCAGATGTTCAAACTATACCGATCCCCACCATTAAAACTATTATTTGGAAATATTTCTGATCCCTACATTTTTTTTTCATTTAATGTGCATGTTCCCAGTTATTGTATGCACGGACTCGCAAAGCAAAGAGGTATAACTAGAGCTGTGATAAAGTCCAGTGAGAGATTGTCGAATTTGTGTGAGTTTTGTGCTCTCGTATGTAGGCAAACTAGCATTTCGGCAGGATTTGGCCACTAATGGCAGCAGTTGCTGCTGCTTTCGTTCAATCTGGTTCTGTTCAGTCTCTTCTCTTAGAGTTTCCTGTCCCTGGCAGGGAGGGTCAGTTCAGGAGCCCACACTGCACTCACTCTGTTGTCATTCTCTCCTTTGGCGTGGTTTGCGCCATTTTCCAGTTTTGAAAAATAAATGTTATTTTTGGCAAGCTTTGCTCTGCAGAAAACTGGATAGAGGGAGGAGCAGAACGTGGCTGCAAGGTCATACGGGCAGAGGCGGTCTCGCTCGAGTGAGTGGGCTGTTGAGTTGATTGGTCCCCTTTACTTCCAGGTCTCCCACATATGTACAGGGAGAGGAGATAGAAAAATTGAGGAAATAGATTTTTTCTGCATTACTTGTGTGCCCTGCCTTTCCTTATTTATTTATTTACTTATATGAAAGCTTTAACTTTTGGACAGCTTGAACAAGTTTGAGAAACGGTCAAGGCACGAGAAGGTCTCACAGCCATCCAGGATCTACAGATTTTGTCCATTGCAGCGCAGATGTTGAGGACAGAGACCTATTTCCTTTCTCTTCCAAGAAAATGGCTCTCATTAATGAGAGTCCAGCTCTCATTAACCTTTGGAGTATTGGAATATTTTGTGCAAAGAAATGATGATTGTCAGTCATCATTTAGGATTATAATCCTAAATTTCTGTTGTTTTAAGTAAAAATACATAAAATACCTTCCCTTCCAAGAATGTCAAAACAGTGTGTCATTATTACTGTTTTGCTTCTTTCCAAAACTTTATTAAAAATTAGTTTTTCAAATTTCTTTTTCAGTGAAAATGCTACTTGTTATAAAAAAGTATAATTTAAAACTTTCGTAAGTAGTGCTTCAATATCTCTTCATAAATTGATTCTTCCACAGTTCAAAAAATAACCAGATCATGTTGTTGTATGTGTTGGGCTTAGTAATTAATTTTAGTCAAATGCTATTAAACAATCCCATCTCCATAAGGAGATACCACTGGCAAAGCAAGCACATAGCAATTAATCATAATATTTCCTTCTGTGCAAATCTGGCCCAAAAGATCTGATGTCTCTGGGTGATGACTGGGGACTGATGTTTAGTGCCAGAACTGGACAGCCCACAGTGTCTTTGCTTTATCCTGAGGCTGATATGAGGGATTCTCACTGAAGACTGGAAATTATGTTGATGATTGCATTTTGGATCAAGCAAGTGTGTAATTCCAGTAGTGGATAAATTTAGCTATGAAAGTTCTTAGCAAGTAATAGGGAAGGTTCATGAAATATTATGATTTTTGGCTAGAGATGAAAAATAGCTTTTGTTTATGTAGATGAAATCCCATGGTAGTTGGGTCTAGTCAACTGGAAGGATTGGTCCTTACACACAGGCAATCCTCCATACTAAACTGTGGTCCTGTGCCTTATGTACATGATTGACTGGAATGATGCTTCTTTGCCTGCACTTCATAAAGTAGAACTTTTTAAAACATTCTTCTCCACAGGTTTGTTTTGCAAATGTTTTTTTGTAAAGCTGTGAGATCCTGAGATGGGAAGTGATAGGCAGATGTGATATGTTTATTGCAATAACTGTGCCTTGAATAACTAAAGTCACAGGCAATCCCATGGGAGAGACACTTCTGTCTTGGCTTTTATCTTGCAAAAATAAACTAAAAAATAAAAATAAAACAATAAGAATTTAGGAGAGTCTACTCTCTTCAAAATGCATAGGTACCAGATACTATTGGTTTACTTTTGCTTGAAGTTCTCTCCTTTACACAACACTCCCTAGAAAAAAAATGTAATGAAATTATATGGGAAGACAAGGACTGGACTGCTTAATAAGAATACATTTTTGTCAGGATTGGCATTTGGAAAGTGTCACCTTTCAGTCTCTGCTGCTTGTGACAAGAGCTGTTGCAGAGGGATATGTGAACCTCTGTATGGTTCTCTCAGAGCAGTAGTGGAAATCAGTTTATTCTGACTCGTAACATGATGAATCTGCTCAATCATGGCATTTCAAAGCAGCTGGTATTGACAGTGGTTGGCCATTCAGTTTTGTTTGCCTGAGTGACAGCATCACCGAGGTAGGCAAATTTTCACAGTCTCCCATGTATTGCATATATTGTGTATATTTTGTTTCGGTATTATGGTGTTCTCTGAAGCTAGCTGACAAGCTGCAGTTTGAACTTGAGGAACTACTTCTGTGTGCTGCAGGGAATGACCTGCCAAAAAAGTGCACAGGCCTGTGCCTTTGGGGCAAGGGAAGTGGAGCCCCCTGCCTGTCTTTATAAAAAAATCTACTTTAGTAAAAAACTATTTTTAGAATAGCTTTTGAAGCCTTACATAAATATGACAAAGTAGACAAAGATATAGAACATTTCTTAATTAAATATAGATTTTTTTGCTTTTTTTTACTTTTAAAGCTAAACAAAACATGTTTGTGCCACGAACTGTCATATCCCCTCCCCGCCCTTTTTTAATTGTATTTTTATATGCTTGGCAGAATTAATGATGAAAATCTTTCCAGCTGTGACTCTGCCAGAATCCTTTTCTGAAGCTCCTACTAATTTGGATTAAACTCGATGGATGAAAGCCTCAAACAGCAAATCCTGGCAATAGATTTGCTGAGGCCCCACAACATATACTTCTCCAACTGTTCTTATCTTCTGAGGCAAAAAAAAAAGAAAAAATAAGCAAACAGAGTTTTGTAATCACGCAGTTGCTAGCACTCGCTCTGTCTCCTCCATGGGCTCATCAATCCTGACTCTGTGTGCAGGACCATGGTGCACACAAGTGCCTCCTACCAGCCTGAACCCGCTGCTTTAACTGCCCTTTGCAGGGGAGACCTAGGGTTTGGATGAGCGGATGTTTTGGATTTGGGTTTGGGGTTTTCTCTAAGTGTTTGAAGGTGTTTTGGTATCTCAGGGCAGCTACCCTGTGTGCTAGCATGCAGGGTGTATTTTAAGCAGAGTTGCCGCTCTGGGCAGTTACTATTCAATACAGCAAACAGGAATGCTAAGTTTGTTATTTACTTGAAGCCACAGAATTTCCTGAGTTCTGACTGCTAGGCACTTCTCTTTACCTCTAGGAGACTTGACACCATGTTTGAATATTGACACTGTTGAACTTGACACATATTGAACTTGACACTGTTCAGGATTTCTGCGTGAGGAGGCAGCAGCTGCAAGTGCTCCTACAGCAACTAACAAAGTAATTTCCTTGAATTGGACCAACCAACCTCTGGCAAGCGCCCGTGTCCTTTCCCCAGCCCTGCTCCAGGGGAGCTTTCTGGAAGCTTGTGGGCTTACTAAGACCTTGCTCTGTATGTTGCTCACTTCACAACTGGGCTGAGAGAAAGTCGTGCTTTAAGTTCAGCTAG